TCATCCCCGAACCCTATTTGGTTCAGGACCTTATGGAGTTAACGATCTCTTGGATCGTTAAGGGGTGTAACCTTCACCTCGTGAACGGTTTACAAGTTCCTAAAACTTGTTGGCGACTCTTTTGCTCTATCTTCTTTCCCTTTGGATGCCACCGTACTTTAGTGTATGACCACAGTGGGGTTCAAGTTAGGGGTAATGCTTGAAATATTCCCTACACATATGCAGGCCAGGAACCTGAGTGATTAAATCAGTGAAAGGAACTATTACCTGCAAGTTTTTCACAATCTCCAAGAACTTACCGAATTGTTTATCAAACTTACTCTTCAATTTTCATTAGGGAACGGTAGTTTGATAATTTAGGCTCTGCACATCTCCTCCCTTATCCTGAGATTTACCTTGTAAAGAAACATTAGAAGGGTTAGTATCTAATTGTAGCCCTGCAGGGTTAGCAGGATTAGCATTTGGTATAGAGGAATCTGGATCAAGAACTGGTCCATATTCCTTTGGCATAGGAGGTCCATCATAATGTGAACCACTCCTTAGAGTGATTGCATTGGCATGATCTGTGGGATGGATTGGTTGTGATGGTAGAGCTCCCTGCTGACGGGTTTGTAGGGTAGATGAAAGTTGTGCAATTTGATTGTCCATGATTTTATTATAGGCTAAAATAGAATCAATTTGCGCATCCCTACTCTCCATATGCTTTTGCATGTTAGTAAGCATTGCTCTAATTTCTATCATAGGAGGGTCAAAAGATGATGAGGGTTGTGCTTGGTTTTTATGGCCAGAATTTGGATGGTAATATTTCTGCTGTGGTGGGGATTGTTGTTGTGGTTGTTGTGGAGGTGGAGGGTTTTGCACATTGGTACTCCGGTACGAAATATATGGATGGTTCCGGTAACCAGGATTATAAGAGTTGGAATATGGGTTATTTTGTCTATAGGTTTAAAAGGCATTAACTTGTTCCATAGAACTCCTACAATCTTGCTCCCAATGCCCTACAATTCCACAATTTTCACAAAAAGCTTCATTGTTAGCAACAGCAGAAACATTAGCTACAGAGTTAGGAGTAGCAGTAAGATTATCTAATTTTTGGCAAACATATGTTAATTGAACTTGCAAAAAGGAAACGGAATCGACATTATGTTTTCCTTTATTTGCAAACCCTCTCAGATTCCCGTATTGGGAATTGTGTATTGACATATCTTCGATAACCTGTCCAGCGTCGTCCACATATAAATTCATGAATTCCCCACTAGCTGCAGAATCTAGAACTGATCTAGATGAATTTCCAAGTCCATTGTAGAAAGCTTGGATCAATTGTCATTGTGCTAGATTGTGGTGGGGACATTCTCTCTGTAGATCCTTGAACCTCTCCCAAGCCTCATATAAAGTTTCATCGGCCTCTTGAGCGAAGTTTTGAATACCACTCCTTAGTACAGCTGTTCTCTCTGTAGGGTAATATTTATTATAGAAATTCAAGGCAAGAGTTTCCCAGTCAGTAATACCAAGTGCAGTTCTATTCAAACCATTAAACCATAATTTAGCTTTGCCACAGAATTAAAAGGGAAAAATAATCTCCCTGATTTGGTCCTGCATGACCCCGGCTTGTCTAATGGTGTTACAATATTGGCAGAAATCTGCAATGTGAAGATTAGGATCTTCACCCTTAGCTCCACTAAATTGCTTCCACTCTATAATAGTGATAAATTGGGGCTTAATTTCAAATTGAACTCCATCAAGAGCTGGAGTGGGAGTAAGGTGCGGAAAATCTGTGAGCTTCGGCTGCGAGTAGTTACTGACTTCTTTTGGGCCGTCATCTCTGATTCTGAATCTGAAGGAATTTCTGTGTCGCTAGAATCAGAGGGAGGGTCTCTTCGATTGTCAGAATTTGTCTATAAAGATTCCTTTGCCTAAGAAACGAGCGCTCGATCTCGGATCGAATGGGATGTAACCTGATCTGGAACACCTGGGCATAAAGAAGGAACTAAAAGACAAATATGAGAATTGCCTCAAAGAACTAACGTTCTCTGAGACAAGAGGGGATAATCTAGACTACAAAAAATATAATCAGAAATAAAAATAAAACCGTTTCCCAGGCAACGGCGCAAAAATTTGACAGGCTCAAGTCGTATTCACCTAATCAAAAATAAAACCTAAATCCACTAACTATGTAGATAGGGAAGAAGGGTCGAACTACAGGGAAACAGGTCAATTTATTCCTAATTAATTAAAAGCAATCTAAATTATCAAGTAACCAAATTTGTTGTAAGGGATGTAATTATACTACTAAAGGTAAAAGTAGGAAGGGAATAAAATAGGAGATAAATTAATGAAGGAAAAACCTAGGGCATAGGTTCACTAATAAACAATATTCTAGGGTAAATCATAATAAGCAATCATCAAGCATCAATTAATCAGATTATAAAGGGCTTTCGCTACGTATTACAATCACAGAGTTAATTTACCGATATTAAATCTCATCTCTCGAATCTCGACTTAACCATTTATAAATTAGTCCGCTTATTGAAACTAAGCCTAAACATCAATTCTCATCTCTTGAATCTCGAATTAATATTGCTAAACTCATACAATTAAATCTGGCCAACCTAATTGCATAGCATTAAATCAATCAATAGGAAATTAATCAAGCATTGATAATCAACAATCACAAATTACCCCTTCATATTATTTATTAGATCCCCATAAACCCTAGAAATAAAACTACTCAAGCATAAATCTAAACTAATCAAAATAATAAAACAAGACATGATCAAAGAGTTAAAGAAATTAACTGAAATTAAAAGAGAAGAAATTGTTACCAAAAGAAATCTGGATTAAGGAATGGAATTAAGAACAAAGTTGAGAGAATTTAAGAGAGAGAAAATATTCTAAGTAGAGAGATAAATTCTAAAAGAGAAGGTAATCAAAATTACGTACAAAAATCGTACTTAAACATCCCTAAAACAAATCCTAATTGAAAACTAAAACTTCAGCTCCAAAAACACGCGCCTGATCGAGCGAAGGGCCGCCCGATCGGGCCCGCCTTTGTTTCCTTCACTCTTCCTAAGAAGCCGTGCCCGATCGAGCTTACGCTCACCCGATCGGGCGCGCCTTCTTGCTAGTGCATTCTTGTGCGCGCCCGCCCGATCGGGCGCAAGCTTGCCCGATCGGGCCCGGCTTCTTCTTCGAGGCTTAGACTTCGATTGGGCTCGATTCTTTGGCCCAATCCAGATTTCCTCTTCGAGTCTTGAATACTCGGTCCAAATGCCCTGGTATCACACACTGAGCCCTAAATCACCGGCTCTAACCGGTCCTGGGATTCAAAGACGGTCGTGTCCTCCTAATGCTCGTAGTTGCTTCATGAAAAACCCGGAAAACGCTTCAAATGTGCAATTTCCTACAAAACTCAAGCAAAACTACAAAACACTAAAAAACACTAATTAGTAATAAAAGTGACTCTAAAGAGCCAAAAACACTACTAATTATGACCAAGGGACGGGGGTAAAACTAGGGGTGGCAAACAGATCAGGTCAGGTCGGGTTCGTGTTCGGGTTTTCGTGTTTCGGGTCAAGGAATCCCCAACCTGAACCTGATCCATTTAAGTTTTCGGGTTGAAAATCCCAACCCGAACCTGATATTTTCGGGTTCAGGTCAACCCGAAAACAACCTGATTTGACCTGACTTTTGTTAATTGTTTTAATTTTTTTTTTAGCTGAATAAACTGATTTTTAGCCAAATTTTGTGTTTTCAAACAGTTAAAAAAACCTGAATTTTTTACCCAATGTTTTCAATACTCTAAAATGCCTAATTAACTATTACACACTAAGTCACTAACACACCAAAATAGTCTTAACAAATTACAAACCATAATTAAAAAGAAAAAAATGTCTTTTAATAAACTTTAGTCCTTGTGACTCAAACAATATTTGAAGAAGCATTCTCATCAAATTCTGATAGTTCCGGCGAGGTTTGTGGTGCGTCATCGTTGTCCCCCACCTTAAGCTTCATAACGGATCCACATAGCATTGCCATTTGAGGATCCATATTATCTACAAGAAAAGATAGCAAATTAAAATCAACACATGTACTAAAATAAAAGATAATTTACAAGTAATATAATAGTTCTAACTCATTTTTTACCTTCCCCAAAATCCCAATCCCTTAAGCAAATTATAGCCTCCACTGTTTCTGATTTTAAAGCACTTCTATAACAATCAAGCACTCGACTTCCAGTACTAAAAGCTGATTCGGAGGCCACAGTTGATACGGGGACAGCAAGAACATCCCTAGCAATTTTAGCTAATATAGGATACCGGATCGAGCAAGTTCTCCAATAAGACAAAATATCAAGGTTGGTGCCTCGGGGGATAAGTGGCTCCTCATAATACATATCAACTTCAGATTTGATTGCCACATTTGATTGCTCCATAGAAAAACTATCAAAATCCTATATACCAAGATTAGATTACATGAGTAGCATGTCACAAAAAATCAAAAAATAAAAATCAGATTATCATACAATAAAATCAGATTATAATATAATAAATCAGATTATAAGAAAATCAGATTATAATACAATAAATCAAATTATATGAGTAGCATGACGCCATGACACAAAAAATCAGAAAATAAAAATCAGATCATAATACAATAAATCACAGATTATAATATAATAAATCAGATATAATAAAATCAGATTATAATAAAATATGATTATAAAAAATCAGATTATAAAAAATCAGATTATTAAATCAGGATATGTTTTCACTTGCAATAAAGGTAAATGCATCAGAAAGACAGAAACTCATAAAGTTGTTTACCATCATAAAATCATCAGAAGCTTCATTAGCATTGGAAGCATTAGCAGTGGGAATAACATTGCTTGATGAAGAATGACTGGATGCATAAGCCTCGTACAACCTCCGTAAAGCATCCTTAACCTTAGAAAACTCAAGCTCGTATTCAACACTATGCTGACCATATATCCTCATGTAACCCTAATTGACACATTGCAACTTATATCGTGGATCCAACACCACAGCAACAGCCATAAATGTACTAAATTCTGACCAATACTTTCCAAATTTCTCATACATTTTACAAGCCATTTTTTGCATAAAAAGATCTGAACTTTTCATTTCATTTTGTAACAACAACCTAACTTGTAAGACTCTATGAAAGTAGATATTGGAAGTTGGATATTTGGTCCCAGAAAAGGCAAGTGTGACATCATGAAAAACTTTCAAAAACTTGCATATTTTTTCAACTCTACCCCATTCTTCAACAGAAGGACAATGTACATAATTGGCATCAACTTTTTGGAAGTGAATTAAAGCTTTTTTAAAATGCAAAGCACAATCAAGCATCATGTAAGTTGAATTCCATCTAGTAGGAATATCTTGTTGTAAAATTCTAGTAGATTGAATTTCAACATGTGATACACAACTTAAAAACCTTTGTTTCCTAGCTTGTGAACTCTTACAATATTTGGCACTCTCTCTAATCTTATACACAGCCTCATCAATTTCTTTTAAACCATCTTGAACAATTAAATTAAGAATGTGAGCACAACACCTTACATGAAAAAATTCCCCACCACAAATCAACTTAAGTTCCCCTTTTAGATTTTCAGCAAAAACATCATTTGAAGAAGCATTATCTAATGTAATTGAAAAAATATTTTTTTGAATACCCCATTCTTTTAACAAACCATACACATGATCACATAAATGAATTCCTGTATGGGGAGGACCAATGTAAGAAAAGTTCAAAATCTTTTTTTGCAAACACCAAGACTTGTCAACATAATGAGCTGTCAATGAAATATAACCATCAGTGGTTATAGAAGTTCAACAATCAGAAGTCAATGCAATTCTACTACAAGTTGAGCCCAAAACAACTTTTAATTTTTCTTTCCCTCTTTTATACATCTTAAGTACATCAGATTTGATAGTATTTCGAGTGACAGGTTTGAAATCAGGATGCAAATAATTAAAACATCTCCTAAAACCCTTGAACTCTACAAACTGAAATGGCATATCACGCTCCACAATAGCAAGAGATAATAATTCACGGAAATAATTAGCATCAAATTCACGCAATCTATTTCCTAAACCAGAGGATGTTTTCTCTAATATCATTTGACCAACATCCCTAAAAGACCTTTGTTTGCAATTTTTCAAATGACGATGAAGATTCCCAGTTCCATTCTTACTATCAGCATTAAAATGTATACCACACTTTTTACATTTGCAAATTAGATTACCATTTTCATCAGGCTCGTCTAAAAAATCAAAATTCACCCAAACACCAGAAGAAAGCCGACGTTGACGTTTCTTACCAGTAAGAATCACACGAGGTTTACCAGAAGAAGTTTTCTGGTTTTTACCATTTCCTTTGTCTTGTGTTGTCGAGTCAATCTCCTCTTCCTCGGAAGAAAGTTGCTGAACATCGGCATCCATAATTACTGCAAAAATTATAACAAAATAAAACATTTATTTTAAAACAAGAGACAAAAACTGATCTATTCTTTCTAGAGATATAATCTAAACATCAACATCCATAATTACCGCAAAAAATCAGAAATTATTTGGACAAGAACAACAATATAAAATAAACAACAAGTCAACAACAACAAGCTAGAGATATAATCTAAATCAGACCTAAAATTAAAAAAAAAAAAAATCACATGCATGTCAAAGATATATTCTTGCTATAAATTAGATCAGGAATTGGATTATTGTGCTAGAAATTTACAAAGCAACCCATCATACGCTATATAAACTTAATACTATTATCATGCAAGAACAACAACAATAATCAAATACAAATCTGTATTGAAACAGAAACAAAAACAACAAAAATCAAGAACAAACCAAACGAAAACAACCAAAATGAAATGAAAACAACAAACTCGAAACGAAAACAACCAAAAATGGAACGGAAACAAAAACAACAAAAATCAAGAACAAAACTAACGAAAACAACAAAACCAAAACGAAAACAACCAAACTCGAAACGAAAACAAAAAAATTGAAACGAAAAAAAAAACATCAAAAATCAAGAACAAAACCGAAACGAAAACAACAAAACAGAAACGAAAACAACAAAAATCGAAACAAAAACAACAAAAATTAAAAAAGAATTACCTTTGAGAGTTTGAGGTTTGACGGCTTGAAGGAGATGAAGATTTGAAGATTTGAAAAAAAAAAAAACAAGAATGGAAAATTCAGAATCAGAACTTGAAATTCAAAACAAAAACGAAACGAAATAAAAAACAATTAATAACCATTACCTTTCAGGCGTTGAGGAGTGAGAACGAGTGAGAAGAGGGAAAAGTTGAGAACTTGAGAATGAAAGAGTGAGAAAGAACTAGAAGGAAAGAGTGAGTGTGGAGTGTCTGAGAACTTCAGATTGTTGAGAAAATGAGAACTAGAGAAGTTTAGAGAGAGAAAGAGAGAGAGAGAGAGAGAGAGAGAGAGAGAGAGAGAGAGAGAGAGAAAGAAAGAGAGGCCAAAATGAGAAAATAGGAGACAAAAACGGCTGGTGGGGGTTAGTCACATTTAGGGTTTTTTTAGGTTTAGAACTTTAAATTGGGCTTGGGCCATTAGCCATTAAAATGATTTTTTTTTTAAGACTTTTTTATTCGGGTTATAAGGTCGGGTTCGGGTTGACCCGACCTGATTTTGACCCGAAAATTATTTTCGGGTTATGTGGGTCATTTTAGGGTTGAAATTTTCAACCTTAACCTAACCCATTTAATTTCGGGTCGGGTTCGTGTCAACCCATTTAAGTTTTCGTGTCCAAATTCTCAACCCTAACCCGCTATTTTCGGGTCGGGTTCGGGTCGGGTTTTCGGGTCGGGTCAGTTTTTGCCACCCCTAGGTAAAACACTATATAAATTGGACATATCAATAAGATAATTAATAATCTTGTTTAGGGTTAATATGATTATAATTCAAGTGATCGCCAATAATAGTTTTATTTGTGCATTAATATTCAACCAACATAAATTAAACAGGTTTAGGATAAACCTAATGATTGCATGTTAGTCAGAAAGCGCACATGAATATGGTCGGAATAAAGTAGAGGCCTATTATTAGGGAAGGTTCAATATCTTTTAGGTTGAATTTGTACCTTCATCCCCGAACTTCCAGTCTTGGTTCTAGATCTATTGCAGTTAACGATCTCTTGGATCGTTAAGGGGTGTAACCTTCACCTCGTGAACGGTTTACAAGTTCCTAAAACTTGTTGGCGACTCTTGTTTCGGGGTTTTCTGATGTCCTGCGGGAGAGTTACAATTCCGAGACTGGAACCGGACGCCTGTACCTGTAAAACAAACGGATGCTCCGGATGATTGGAGATCCGCCTCCGACGGTCAAGTTAGTACTTGATTAAGGAGTAATTAATGCGGAAATAAAAGTGATTGGGTCTCTCTAGGTGAGAGTGTTAAATGTGCGTAATCCCCCTTAATGAGGATTAATGGAGGTATTTATAACCTTGGAAAACGTGCCAATCCTAGGTTTAGGTTAACCTAGGGCTGATTGGGCTTCCCTTGGAAGTTGGGCCTAGGTGGCCAGTTTCTCCATTAGGCATGGAGGATGCCAAGTGTCATGACATAATAGGTCCAGGGTGGACAAATAGACGTGTGCCACGTGGCAAACCCTGACAGTTCCAACTGGGGGACACTTGGCAGGACCTGATTGGCCCACGTGGCGCATTCCAATTGGTGGGAGCAAAATCCCCTAATCATTTGCCCCTCACAGGTGGCACGTGACTGGTCACGTGTTACCTGTGACAGGTGTCGCACTGTGACAGGCGACGGCTTGCTACAGGTGTCACTCGGCGAAAGGCCGAGAGATTCTCCCGCCCAATTTTTGAATTTTGGAAGTGACCCTTCGACTTCTCACTTCGCCTATATAAGGGGGTGTTGACTTCAGTCATTTTCACATTTTTTAGAGAGAACATTCGGACCCCTGAACTTGCTCTGACATTTCGGACCCTTTCTGCCTACCGCCTGCTCTGACAAGCCGACTACACAAGATTTCCAGAACTCCGTCAACTTCACTCGTTCAGGTAACCGTCAGTTTTCTTACTCTTAATTTTTTCTTTATTTTATTCTTTTTTGAAATGGCACCACGGAAGCACACGACACGACCTAGGTTAGTGATCAGCCGGTCACCGGGGACGGCTGAATCTAGGACTACGAGTGCCGCATGCCCTTTTCCGAACCCATCTTTGCCCTTTATACAAAGTCCGACTGTCTCTGTGTCTATGCAGAACATGATGGCCAGAACAAAAAGAACTGCTAGGATTTCGAACTCAGACGGCTCCTCCCACAGGGTGCCGATTAGTGAAACATCTGACCAGGCGCCAGATGTGGAAGTGAACCAAAGGGGCTTGAAAACCGACAGTTCTGAGGGAGGAGTCAAAGTGACCCCTTCCAATTTTACAGTTGACAAGTCTACATTCTCTCCTGCTCCTTTTGAAGGAGAGGAGGCGGGCCCCTCTGGGAGAGGGGAGGAGTCGTCCTCTTCGGACTCGTCAGAGGACGAATCCGAGTCTAGCTCTTCTGGTCATGCTTCTCTGGACACAGAAGAGAAAAACAGCCGCCTACAAGAGGCGAGGCTTTCTCACGCAGTTGAGAAGGGGGACAATTGGGCGGAGCCATCCGCCTCTTACCGAGAGCAAAATACCCCCTACTACTGCACTGTCCCACGGGGCCGGATCACGGTCATGCAAGAGAAAGTGGGGAGCTTTATTGCGAACCACACAATGGGCCCCGGCTTTTTAGTTTTCGTGCCGGATCCAAAAGACACAGTCGTCTGGCCGGCTGGTACTAGTTATGATGGCGCCTGCTTTGGCTGCTACGAGGCGGCCATCAAGGCTGGGCTGCGCTTCCCATTACATCCGGCTGTTCAGCGGATCTTGGATGGGTATGAGTTGGGGTTATGGCAGTTAGCCCCAAACTCCTGGGTCAACGTACTCGGCTATGTGGCCGGGTGCGAACTGCACGGGGTGGAGCCAAACTTCGAGGCTTTCGCCCACATGAACTACCTCAGCCGGACCCCTAAGGCAGGCGGTACCGGCTGGTATCAATTGACGAGCCACAGAGGCTACCTCATGACAAGAGGTAAAGCAAACAAGTGGAAGGATTGGCGAAACACCTTCCTTATCATTGAAAGTTCAGACACAAAGCTGAACAAGCGCTTCAACAAGTGGAACAGGATTCCGCCTCTTCTTGAAGGCGGCCGCAGCATGCCGCCTGTTCCCCCCAAAGCCAAGAAAGAGATCCTGGATAAAGGACTCTTTAAAGTAGAGTCGAGGGTCGACTCTACTACAGGGGTACGAGAGCAAGTACCCCTGTACTGCGTCCCGAGCTTCAAATGGCTCTATGACGAGTACTTTCTGGCCGCCTGTGGCCTTAGCAGTCGGTGTTCAAGAGGTAGCCGGCCTGTCGAATACTCTGTTTTTCCATGCATTACTGTTATGACTTTTTATTAACTTTGCTATTTGTTTTTGCAGCGGACGCCATGAGCAAAATTACCGCCTCCAAGACTGCGGCGGCCATGTTGCGAGCCTCCATCATGCAACAGTCCTCAACCGACTCCCCCAACAAGGGGGCGCCCTTGGTGAGCTTTGAACCTTTCACTCTCTTTTTGGAGTTGGGTTTATGCATATACTGACCGAGTGTGTTTTTTTTTTTTTTTTTTTTTAGGCGGGCGCTCCAAGAGCCTCTTCTTCCCAACAGCCGGACTCCAAGACCCGGATAACGACTGTTGCGAGCTCTCCTGGTTCTGCCAGGAAACATGCGGCGGCTGAGAAACAGTCGTCCACTCCTTCTAAAACTCCAATCGGGCCGTCTAGAAGTATGAAGCTGTCCTTGTGAATTTAGACTTGCTCCCTTCTTTACTAGGTCTAACTCGTTTGTTTATGATTGATGCATCCGGCCCTCAGGAGCCGGACTTGGTCGAGGTGGCCAAGTCTATGATCAAAGCCGTCCCTCCAACTGAAAGGGAGGCGGTCAGGGGTGTCGGCACCCTTGACCTAGACGGGATTGCAGGGGTCCTTGCTGAGGTATACTTAGCATATTTTTGGTTATTTAAATTCCAGGACGCCTGTTTTTTGTTTGGAAACTGACGCCTGTTCCCTTTTACTTAGGCCCTGCTCCGAGTGAACGGCCTTCGCAAGCCGCTTGACAGGAAGAACAAAGAGGTAAAGGCTGCAAAAGCTATGGCCGCCTCTGACTGTGATAAGGCAATGTTTCAAATTGCCCAAAATGAGATTTTGATAATTGATATTCTTTATTATCAGGCGCAGGCTACTTCTGCCATCCGGGCTCAGTTAGAGGCGGCCTAGAAGAAAAATAATGAGCTGGAGACGACCATCAACAATCTCAAGGCCGAGCTGAGACCTCTTCGCCAAAAAATGTCCTCATACGATACCTTGGAGAAATCCTTGG